TTTTTTTTGAGACAGAGTTTCACTCTTATTACCCAGGCTGGAGTGCAATGGCGCGATCTTGGCGCACCGCAACCTCTGCCTCCTGGGTTCAAGCAATTCTCCTACCTCAGCCTCCCAAGTAGCTGGGACTACAGGCTGCGCCACCATGCCCAGCTAATTTTTGTATTTTTAGTAGAGATGGGGTTTCACCATGTTGACCAGGATGGTCTTGATCTCTTGACTTTGTGATCCATCCGCCTTGGCCTCCCAAAGTGCTGGGATTATAGGCGTGAGCCACCGCGCCCAGCCCTGAAATTCTTTTTAAGATTGGTTAGGCTGATGTATTAATTGCTTTATCTTCATTGCTGTAGCGGCTTTGATTCAGCAAGCAACAACAGTTAAAAACAAGGATATCCGGAAATTTTTGGATGGTATCTATGTCTCTGAAAAAGGAACTGTTCAGCAGGCTGATGAGTAAGACCTTAGAGGTAGGTTCTTGTAGTTTTATTACTGCTTTAGTTGAATGAATGTCTTAATTTACTAAAAGACTTAAACCAGAGTTGTTAATAATGGAAAACGGAGAGTTAAGGATTCTGGAACACAGTAAATTTGACAGAATAAGAGATGGAATTGGCATGCATTTTACTGTGTGTATAGTTTACTATGAATAAGTCATAGTCTTGAGGTATGTTTTAGATTATTTAGAATAGTACAAAAAAAAGATTAGTACTTTTCTGGGCAGGGGCATTGATGGGAATTAACAGATATTTTTGTTTCTTTTTACAGTTGTCCAGCTACAGAAACACAAGATGCCTATCATAGCTAAGACCTACTTGTGATACTTAAATGATGCAATAAAAGACCTATTAATTTGGAACTTTTTCTTAAACCAGTTATCCTTTTTTTTTTTAGCTTGTTTTTCTCCCTCATGGAACAAGGAGAATCTGGTTCTTGAAGCAATAGCAAGGATATATTTTAGGCAAGAGGAATATTGTTAAAGTGACAGGCAAACATGAGGCCGTTCATCATTGCATATAGAACTTTGGGAATACCCTGAAGGTATCTAAATTTGCTGAGGCATGAATTTGAATATTTGGTCAGGCAGGTTGTTCTAGTCACTTTTGAAAAAACAGCTGAGGAGTGGAACAAAGTGATATAACATCAGTAAGAATTAGAAGGTGCATTTGGTTTGGTTCATGGCCTCAATAATCTTGTCCTTTACCCTACTTCTGCCATTTACTTCCATACCCTAGAACTTGTTTTTAAAAATTGGTAACCCTTCCATAATCTCTTAATTCCATGTGTCACACTTTAAATATGGTAAGAGACCGCCATAACTAGACTTAGGTCAACATGGTGACTGACCGCCCCACCCCCAGCCCTTCCTGAATTCTACATCTCATTTGATGGAAGCTAATTTCTCAGGCAAAATTTAACATTCATCCTTGATCAAATGCATCAGGAAAACATAAGTATCTTCATGGTAAGGTACATTCAGATACTTTATCAGAAAAATTAAAAGGAGAGCTGTAGCAACCAGTTGGAATATGTGTATCTAAGATCTTACAAGGTGTTGCTCAGTTGCCCAGGCCAAGTACAGTGCCATAGTCGTAGCTCTGTAACTTCAGACTCCTGGACTCAAGTGATGCTCCTGCCTGCCTCAGTCTCCTTAGTAGCTAGACCTACAGGCAGGCACTGTCAAACCTGTTTTGTTTTTAGTATAGATGGGGTCTCATATTGCCCAGGCTGGTCTTGAACTCCTGGCTTTAGGTGTTCCTCCCACTTTGCCTCCCAAAGGGCTGGGACTATAGGTGTGGGCCACCATGCCCTATAAATCTTAGATCTTGATTCAGGTGCACTAACTGAATATATGATATTCAGGAATCTGATGATTATGTGTTTAGGTTTTTAAGAAATTGGAGGAAATGATAAATCTAGAAATAATCTGGGATGGGGTTGTAGGCAATGAATGGGATCAACATGAAATAAGGTCACATCCCCTGAAAGGTTGGGAAACAAGGCTCATATACAAATTTCTTACAATGTAGAAAATGAAAACCTGTATTTCACCTGGATTGCTGTGGCAGTCTTAACTGGTTGTCTTCCATTATTTTCAGCATCAACCAGGGTACTGGGTTTGAAATGGATTGTAGCACGTTTCAAATCCTGCAATGGGCTTTTTTTTCCTTTTTTCTTTTTAAAATAGCTTCTCCATTGCACCTGCAGCTGTTTTTAACCCAATTTTTCTGACTTCTGCACTATAGCTGAATTGACCTGGCTATTCCTCGATACTAAACACTGCCATTAAGCCTTTAAGTTGTTTTTTCCCTTTGGAATGCTCTCAGCTGAGCTGTGTGGCTAACTTGCTTACCTCAGGTCTATTCAGTGAATCCTGCCTTGACCCCGCTATTAAAAATAGTGGCACCTCCTCTGTTAGCTTGTCCTACTGTCCTCTTACCCTTCTCCACTTGTTTTTGTTTGTAGCATTTATAAATTTAATATTTACATCTTGCCTTGTGTATTGATTATTTGCTTTTTCCTGCTAGAATGTAACCTCCAGAAGGATGTAATTTTGTACTCTGGTGTATTCCAAGTATCTAGAACAATGGCATGTAGCTGTTTACTGAGTGAGTAGTTCCTGGATTGCCAGGGACTCACTTAACAGCAGTGGGATTGGAAGGGAGATATTTTGGAAGGTATTGACAGGATTTCAAAACAATGAGTCTTGTAGGAGAAATTTCCAAGTGGCAATATTATAGTGGCATGGAGGTGTTAAGGAGGATCAGCTTATGGGTAGTAGTTGCTGTGAGAGTAAATGAGGTTTCTCTGCATGAAATGGATTGGTGTGCTGGATGTGACCTTCATAGGATAA